GCAGGCGGTGAGCACCCCGAAGCAGTTCGAGCACGCTCACACCCAGGCGGGCGAGAGCAGGGCCTCGGCGTCCTCCGTCCTGGTCACGACGAAGCGCCGCCGCTTGGGCGGACGGTGCACGGTCGCGGCCGGCGGCCCGGCGCCAGCCAGGTCGCCGTCGAGGGTCACGACGGTGGAGGCCGCGGGCGTGCCGCCCGTGTCCAGCGGGGTGCGGAACAGGGACGCGGGCGTCACGGGGACGCGGATGGAGAGGTCGCCGTCGACGACGTGGCCGGGGCGCGGCGTCAGGAACGGCGTGGAGGGCTGCGCCGACGCGGGCGGCGGCACGGGGTCCAGCTGCTGGGCCGGCATGTTGCTGTAGGGCGGCGAGAACGCGGGCCACCTGGCGCCCGGCTGCTCGACCTGGCCGCCCGCGCGCCCGCCCCGGGCCGCCCTGGCCGCCCGGATGCAGCGGTAGCCGTCGCTGCTCCCTGCGCAACACGAGGAACCACAGCGTCACGCAGCGAGTCAACTTCACTACTTCCGTTTCCGGTCTGGTCACCAGGAGGGCAATCGGAGCGTTCGCCGGAAGCGCCTTTATAAATCAGCTCAAGCAAGGGTGAGGGTTGAACAACGTTCCAGAGCGGTTTAGAAGGAGCCTCCGTCCGATCGCCGTCCAGGTGCTCGTGTCCGCGACCCCTCACCTAGCCGCCAGCTGGAGCTGGGCACGCCGAGCGGGGCGCCCGCGCCGCACCCGTTGCTGAAGGAGGACCGGCGGCCGTGGTGGCCGGGGCCCGCCGCCGCGTCCTGGTGGCAGTGCTCCTGCAGGCGGATGGTGCGGTACAGGCCCTGGAGCTCGCGCACCGTGCTGGGTACCTCCTCCTTGTCCACCAGCATGTTGGGCGACCACGTCAGCTGGTGCTCGGGGCACACCCCCAGGTAGCGCGCGTCCGCCCGGCTGGGGAACCTGCTGCTGTTCGCCGGCAGCTGCAAACAGAACGCCAGTGTTGGCGGGGTGGTGGGATGGTGCAGGGCGTTGTCGCGCCCCCCGCCAGATGGCGCCACCCCCCGCCAGATGGCGCCACCCCCCGCGCCGCGAGAGGGTGCGCCGCGAGCGAGGGGTATGGCCGGGAGAGACTCACCGCCGCGGCCGCGGAGAGGCGCCAGAGGCGGGCGAAGTCCGGGGAGAGCTGCTTGTCCGCCTTGTTGACGCAGTCGTCGCCGCCGCTGCCGCCGACCGCGCACTGGTCCGTCCTGCGCAAGAAAACGATCAGTCGATGCGAGTCTTCAAAGTTTAAACTGTTGTTGCTCATTGTTCTGGCAGGCTGACGGACACGCACTTGTTGACGACCGAGCGCAGCATCTCCGCCGCCGTCGTGCCGTGCAGGGTCGTGTTGTAGTCCCTCGCGACCTTGACGTCGTGGGCCCAGAAGAGCTGGTGCGCCTGGCAGTGCGGGGCCACCTCCTTCACCTTGGTTGTGAAGAGCAACGGAAAAAAATCAACAAAAATACAATCATAAACAAAAAGAAACGACAGCGGTAAGCAAGCGAGGCGCAGGGTAGCGGAGGCAGCCCGGCGAACTCGCGTGCACCTGTAGCGGATGGGTGGCCTACGCTGCAGGCGCTCCGCACAACGTCACCTTGAGCATGATGGTGCCGGTGATGTAGATGAAGACGATGTTGATGAAGGTGATGCAGAGCGAGATGCCGCCCATGACCGCCATCTCGATGTGCGGCAGGTCCGAGTAGTAGGTGCTGTAGCGCGGGGAGGCGTCCTCGCCGGCGGCGCCCTGCTCCAGCACCTCCAGCACCTGCTCGCCGGCCGACGACACCGGGCACGTCATGTAGAACACGAACGCCATGGCCCACAGCAAACCCTGAGCGCAAAAAGAAAGTGTCTTATTGGAATGTTCGATGAAAAGAAAAGAGCGCTAAAATAAAATGATTTCCAAAGAGCTCTCTCACCGCGTTGACGGCGGGGGGCATCAGTGACGCGGAGATGGCCACCCCGACGAGCGACCCGGTGTTGTCGCGGAGCAGCGCGATGGCGATCCCGGCGCCCGAGAGCATCGCGATCACCGTGTTCACCCACAGCGAGCGCAGCTGCCCCCTGGAATCAGACAAGAACAGTATTTAACAAAATATATCACACCAAAATAATTCCAATGGAAATTAAACAGCCATGAAAAGTTGGATCCCCTAAAACTCCATGCTTTTTTTTTGTGATGACTAAAGAGTGCGAAAGAGGAAAAGAGGTGGTACCTGTCAATCATCTCTGCCGTTGGCACCGGTTGGTCAAAGAATCCGACGCCAAGCCCAGTACAGAGACCGATCGACAGACAGACCAGCAGTCCGGCACACTCGTTCACCAGCCCCATGCGCCTCAGACTCCTGTCGTTGATCATGGTTCCAAACGTAGCGGCCATCACAGGTCCCTGTCGATTACCCACAGTCACATTAACAATTTATTGCAGTCCCAGAGGGTAATTTAAGTTTGAGGAAAGAAAGGTCCGTACCATTAAGGGTGAGATGAGCACACTGGCTACCAGAATCACAGTGCTGTTTTCCAAGAAACCCAATGCAGCTGAAAATCTACAAAGTTGGACAGAAGTCAAAATATTTTAGAAAATTGACAGCATGTTGAGCCATAATGTGTTTGATACAATTATGGAACCCCACACAGCCAGTTGAATCTCAACAGCAAACAACAAAAGGAGAGAAAAATTAAATCAACCACTTACGATGCAACAATAAGAAGAAGCAGGAAGTCAAATGTGAATCCTGCATTTGCACGAACACCTTCTACAACTTGAGCGACTGTCAGCCTTGCTCGTACTGATTGCACAAATTGTTCCCACTCAGATTGAGGAGGTTTAACCCCTGCACAAGCACTTTGCGTAACTCCAGGGCAGCTATCCAACAAACAAAAACCAAGTGAGTAAAATTTTCAATCACTTTTCAAATTAAAAATAAGGATTTAGTAAATTTCATAACACATACTCCTCTTCTAAATTGTCTTCATTTTCATCATCTAATTTGTCTGTTGAGCCAGAAGTACTTTTTGCTCCTTGGTAGAAAAGAGTGCATGGAAGAACGCTAAACAGCAAAACGAAAACAATATTTTAGGTTTAACAATTTTTTTTAATGTATTTTTTAGAATTGTTAGTTACCTTACAACTGAGTTGAGCAGGACTCCTATGCCTCTTTCAGCCAGCTTTTTAAGTGCCTCCTCACAAGCCTCACGTGACTCAATTGTGAATAAGACCTAAAATTTGAAAGAGTTTAAAATAAATTGTGGTC